AACTTTGTGCCAGACACTTTGTTGAGTGCTTAATGTGATTTATCTCATTCAACCTCCACAACAGCCCTGGGAGGTGGCCATGCTATTATTCCCTCTGTTTTCCAGAGAAAGAAACTGAGGCTCAAAGATGTTTCAGAGTGTCTACTATCACAAGGACATCTATGGAATGAAGTCCATTTGACCCAATGTCCATTCGCATCCTATCAAAGCTGCCTCTGGGAAGAGAATCAACCTAGTGGCTGTCAGTAGAACAAATACGTATGCAGGAGGGTAAACGTTTAATGAGCTCCATGCTTAAGAGGTAGGTAGGCCTGTAATCCCAGCACTTTGGGAGGCTGAGGCGGGTGGATCACGAGGTCAAGAGATCGAGACCATCCTGGTCAACATGGTGAAACGCCGTCTCTACTAAAAATACAAAAAATCAGCTGGGCATGGTGGCGCGTGTCTATAGTCCCAGCTACTCAGGAGGCTGAGGCAGGAGAATCACTTGAGCCTAGGAGGCAGAAGTTGCAGTGAGCCGAGATACTGCCACTGGACTCCAGCCTGGTTGACATAGCGTGTCTCCGTTAAAAAAAAAAAAAAAAAAAAAAAAAAAAAAAAAGAGGTAGGTAGGGAGGGATGAACAAGAGAAAGGGTCCCTGGACTTTGGGTGAGATCTGGAATGGGAGACACGGTTGAACTTGAGGTCTGTGCATGGAGACTGCAAGACACCAAGATCCTGGGTCCCCTTCCCACAGCTTGCCAATGGGGCTCCCCTCTGCTACTCCACAAGCATGAGCAGGAGATGCAAATCAACACACACAACTAAGTACACAAAGCAGGAGGTCCTGGGGCTGGATTTAGGGTTCAGGAAGGAACTGGAAAAGAGGAACTGGAAATACACGATCAACTCAGTAGTGAGTCTAAAGGGGAAACAAACCTCAAGAGACCAAATAGAATCAGGTTTAAAAATGAAAGGAAAGCAAGAAATCCTGGACTAGTAAGGAGGAGGAGAGAAGAGAGACTTGGAGCTGACCAGAGCTTGCAGCCTGGACCTGATGGGTCAATGACAGAAGCCTTTGGGGGTCCCTGCACGCCCTTGGCCACTCCTGTGTGGCCTCAGCCTCCCTCTTCTCCTGCCCCTCTGCTCGACTGCAGGCCTTCAGTCAGCTGTTCAGAGGCTGGAGCAACTGACTGTGAGTGGACTGCTCCCGGTGCCAGGGCTATTTGGGAAAGTAACTCCCAGCATAGTTTCATGAGTCACGTTAGCATGACCCAGGAGAACACAACGATTGGTAGCTTCTCACAGCTAGCAGCGGTTTTCATCACACATCCCACAAACATTGAGTAACTACTACGTGCCTGGCTCTGTTGGGGAGGCTAGGACCATAGAAGCAAATGAGACTGGGTCTGGGTCTGGGTCTAACGTGCAGCAACTGAGCAGAAGAGACCAAGATGGCAACAAAGTGTGTTGAGTGATCTGTTCAAAGTCACAGAAGGCCCCAACCCACTGTGGTGAGGGGCGAGGGAGATCAAGCATTTCTAGAAGACAGACACCAGGGCATTTCTTCTCTTTCACTTATCAATCGGAGGAAGGATCGAAAAGCAGAAGGTCCTTCTGCTCTGGGCCCCAGGTTCATCTCTCCACTTTAGAAAGCTCCAGAGCACAGCTGGGCGCTGTGGCTCACGCCTGTAATCCCAGTACTTTGGAAGGCCGAGGCAGGCAGATCACGAGGTCAGGAGATTGAGACCATCCTGGCTAACATCGTGAAACCCGGTCTCTACTAAAAGTACAAAACATTAGCTGGGCGTGGTGGTGGGTGCCTGTAGTCCCAGCTGCTCGGGAGGCTGAGGCAAGAGAATCACTTGAACTCAGGAGACGGAAGTTGCAGTGAGCTGAGATTGAGCCACTGCACTCCAGCCTGAGCAACAGAGCAAGACTCGGTCTCAAAACAAACAAACAAACAAAAACAAAAAACAAAACAAACAAACAAACAAAAACTCCAGAGCACAGTAACACTACTGTTTCCCTCCAAATTGAGGTGAGATGGCGCTCTTTCCCGCCATCCTTTAGTTCATTGTTATCACAGAGCAACATAACATATACTGATGATAATCCAGTTTTATTTTAGCTATTCCAGGTCCAGCCACATGCTTCCAATCTATGTGTCTTTTTAGCGGGGAGAGAGTGGTGTAGCAGCATTTTGCTACCCACACCTTCCCTAGTACAAACCCATTACACAACCCAACTCCCCAAATGCAAATTCTTCCCTGTTCCACATGGACCACCCACAGCCCCTGCACACAGTCCTGCCCACTGCACTGACTTCTGCCACACATCCATCTTCAAGGTGCTTCTCTGCCTGCAGTGCCCTCTTCCCATGATGCCAACCTATTCAGGTCCTGGGCATCTTCAAAATCTAGTTCACTCTATCCAGTTCACAAAAGTGCCTTGACACTTTTCTCTGCATCTCCCCAATATTCTTCTTCTCTGAACAAGCAGAAGTAATCTCCGCACTTCACCCCAGTATTTAACTATAATTTGGCAAGTGTCAAGAATTGTTTGCTAACCACTTTCAGTAAGTTAATTTTGCTTCCAGAAATCACTTTAAGATGCTTGCTGGGGCTGGGAGTGGTAGGAGGCCAAGGTGGGTGAATCAAGTGAGGTCAGGAGTTCAAGACCAGCCTGGCCAACGTGGTGAAACCCCATCTCTACTAAAAATACAAAAATTAGCCAGGCTTGGTGGCATGCACCTGTAGTCCCAGATACTTGGGAGGCTGAGACAGAAGAATCACTTGAATCTGGGCAGTGGAGGTCGCAGTGAGCCGAGATCGCACCACTGCACTTGAGCCTGGGTACAGGCTGGATACAGAGTAAGACTCTGTATCCAGAAAAAAAAAAGTGCTTGCTGGTAAGCCTGTAGTGCTCTAGTGCTGTAGTGCTTTCTTATTCCCATGAGTATGAAGTGATGTGCTGGGCCACCTCACTGTCACTCAACATATCCCTGTTGATGGAATGGCTGGCTGACCCTTGAAAATAACTGATGGAATCAGACTGCCCTGAAGTTGTGAGAGCAGCACAGCACGTCTTAGGGTACAGGTCAGTAACAGCTACAGTACGCTGGACCTGGGGATGAGCCAAGCTCTGTGCTTTTTCAGTCTCCCTTCCCAGAAGCCCTACAGTGTGCTGCTTACTGAACTCATTGAACAGAGAAAGGAATGACGGCTCAGCGTTATTAACTAATGTGCTGAAACTCACAGACTCACAGGTGGTGGAGATGGGACTGAAATTAGGTCTGCCCATGCCCTGTGTCCACTCATGTCCAGTGCCTTCCCCATGGTCAGCTCTGGCCTTTGGGGAATGAAGAGCCAAGAAGTGTGTGGCCTCACTCAGTTCCCCTGAGGGCAGCATTTCCTTTAAATTATAAAAAATACTTGCTCCACGTGTCCATATTCCTGAGACCTCTTCTTGCAAGATAGAGATCCATGTATAGACAGAGAATCACATAGTTACTCATTTACTGCCTCTTCAGGGACAATCATTCATGCTGAGAAGAAAAGACAAGCGCATGATATCCTTCATTCTATTCCTCAGCTGTCTTCCCCGGGCAGAGCGTGTACAGGTAAATCTGTTGCATATTTTAACAAGGCTGCAGTAGATGGAGTAGGAGATACGGTATGTAACCATATGATTTATTGTCTAAACCAGGGCACTTTGAGCATAAAAGCTATCTAGAATTAATTAATAGGTATTAACTGATCTACCGCAGATGGAGACAAGACTATACGATCCTGGGTAAACTAGGGTAAGTGTTCCCCTACAGAAAATCCTGGGCTCTCAAGGACCTTCAACACCCCTTAGGCATACATCTCAGTCAGTGACTGCTTTCTATTCAGCCCAATGTAACATTCACTCATTCATTTGATAACAGGCCGGGCGTGGCGGCTCACACCTGTAATCCCAGCACTTTGGGAGGCCGAGGCGGGCGGATCACGAGGTCAAGAGATCGAGACCATCCTGGCCAACATGGTGAAAACCCGTCTCTACTAAAAATACAAAAATTAGCTGGGCGTGGTGGTGTGTGCCTGTGGTCCCGGCTACTTGGGAGGTTGAGGTAGGAGAATTGCTTGAACCTGGAAGGCAGAGGTTGCAGTGAGCCGAGGTCAGACCATTGCACTCCAACCTGGGCAACAGAGTGAGACTCTGTCTCAAATATATATATATATATCTCCACATGTCCAGCCCTGTGGGCAGCCCTGTGATGATCAACCCTGCACTCATGAAACTTACATTCTCATAAAAGAAGTGGAAAGTAAACAAATAAATACATAAGAAATATAATATCAGGCAGTGATGAGGTCTGAGAAGAGAAATAAGGTGGGGTTAAGGTGATAGAGAGAAATGTGTAGGGTGGAAGTGAAGACCTCTTTGAGGCTAGGCCAAAAGGAGGGAAGAGGTGCACAGGACTTGAGGTGGAAGAGCCATATGGGAGACTTGGGGACCAGAGAGAAGACAGCAAGGCTGAGCGGGAACAGGTGACGTAGGGCCCTGAATTTCATTCCCAGTAAAATTGGAAAACATTGGAAGGTCTGTGCAGTGGAATGCTGCCATTGAATTTGCAATTTTAAAAAGGATAACTCCAGCTAGTAGTGGAGAATACACTGTAGAGACACGAGAATGGGAAACTGAAACCAGGCAATTGTGATTGCACAGGTGTGAGATGATGGGGCATGGGCCAGCGTAGAAGCCATGGTGGTAGGGGTCAGAGGCAGCTGGGTTCAAGAATCATCATGGAGGCAGAGCCTCTAGGATTTGTGAGCTAGGTAGACACTAGGTGCCTGCGATACGCAAGACACTGGGACAGACCTGATCCCCGACCAGCCCAGCTTATACCTAGGTTCCTTCCAAGGCTGTTGTTGATGGGTCCTAGAAATCATTATGTGTACCTGGAATTTGAACACGAGAAACAAGCTACTTTGGTCCTCTAGGGCAGAAGGAGGATGGCGCTGAACATCCTTACCTTTAGCTCTGTGATCTTCCTCCTTGGGGCACTTCCCTCCTTCCCACCATTTGCGCTTTAGGATCTCCAGGCGGTTGTTCTCCTGCAGCTGGAGAATGGCCAGATCAAACTCGTCCCGGAAAACCGAGCCTGCAGGTCACAGGAGAGCCCAGGACACAGGTTGTGAATGCCCTGTTAGGTGTCACTCTGCTCCCCTTCCCGGCACACGTCCTGGCCACCCCGCCTGCTTTAACTTTGAGAGGGGCAGACAGATGCAGCAGGTGGGGCAAGTCCACGGGGCCACTGCGCTCTTCCTCCATTAAGGATCCCCCGGGAGAGCAGGGCATTCTGGCTTCACACAGGGCTCTCAGCCTTTTTACTTCCCTTCTCTCCACGCTGACTGGCACATCCAGCCCATGGTCAAAGACCCCAGGATGGGTCAAGGAACGGCTGTCCAGGCAGCTATGCCATTCGCCTCCCCAGCCGGGCACCACCACTTTCTAACCTAAAAAGATGCTCTATCCAGGTTAAACGACCTGCCCACCGACACACAGGACACTGGCTGCAAAGCTTCCCATCCACCTCCAGGAGGCCAGAGTTTGTGTTTTTGTGACAAACCTCTCAGGTGTGTCCAATTTCTACTAATACAGGCAGGTGCAGTGACTCACGCCTGTAATCCCAGCACTTTGGGAGGCCGAGATGGGCAAGTCACTTGAGGCCAGGAGTTCAAGACCAGCCTGGCCAATATGGTGAAACCCCATCTCTACTAAAAATACAAAAATTAGCTGAGTATGATGGTGGGCACTTGTAGTCCCAGCTACTCAGGAGGCTGAGACAGAAGAGTCGCTCGAACCTGGGAGATGGAGGTGCAGTGAGCCGAGATCACACCACTGCACTCCAGCCTGGGCAACAGAGTGAGTGAGACTCTATTTCAGAAATAAATAAATAAGAAAATTTCTTAGGCACTTTTAACTCTCACTACATTACACCTGACAACTGTTTATCCAGAGAAGCCACCAACCAACGAGAGAAGAGCCACCCCAGAGTGTGAGAATCGGGTCACCGGTTGTCCTCCACCCTCAGTGCTGCCTGCTGAGCTCACCAGAACCCACTGGCCTGTCCATCACCCTGTTTCTCCCACTCTTCCTTCCCTCTTCAAACGGATGGCTTTTTTCTGTTCAGTGCCATTCTTTTTTAATTTTTCCAATGCAATTTTGTCCAGGAGCTTTGGTTCCAGAATTTAGGTGTAATCACAAAAACAGGCTTAAATGAAACCATGGAAAGCTCAATGTCCTAGCACAGGCTGAGGCCTGAGATTATTAAGAAAAAGCTGCCAAGAGGCTGGAAAATAATTAACTGCCCAGTTTCCTTGCCCAAACTCTATGAAGGCTGGATGTGGACAGATGCCCCAGAGGGGAAAGGCTACTGTGAAGGATCAGGCAGAAGCTTGCTACAAACAGATGAGTGCTTTTCAAATTCTAACATGTATTGCAATCACCTGGGGATTTTGATGAACTGCAGAATCCGATTCAGTAGGCCTGGGGTGGGGCCTGAGAGTCTGCATTTCCAACAAGCCATGAGGTGATGTCCATGCTGCTGGGCCATGGACCACACTTTAGGAGGCAAGGAACTAGAACATCTCCCAGATCTCCTCCAACTGTGACAGCCCACAGCTCCACAACGGAACCTTCTCTACATAGTTGTGTCTGTAGACACCCAAACCACACCCGAACTTGGACACCCAAACCGCAAGCCTACAGCACTGAATGTGTGCAAGTGATCTGGGCAAACACCGTCAGAGCTTCAAGTACAGTAAGTACTTATTACACATCCGCAGCAAATGGACACAGGAATGAGTTGCCTAACAGATGCTGTTAGGTGGTGAGACTAACGATCATTCTGGGTTTAGAGACAACTGTCTAGCCCAGCAAGGCATTTCAAGCAATTTCAAGGCCAACCTTATAACACACTACGGACCACATGAAAGGCCTATTCTGCTTACTCCTTCGTTGCCTACTTAGCTCCTAAAATACCTGATTAAGTTTCCATCTGGTTCCTTGTTCTGTTTCTCTTAATTTTTTGGGGTCCAATCACATTGCTTATTCCACAGTTAGGCTCTTACCTTTCACTTAAGAATGATATACATGCTCATATCTCTTGGGCATACCCCCAGCTGAACCTAAATCCTGGCTCAGCACCAAACTGTGTAATGTTCCTTCCAACCTCATGTGTTCTTTCCCATATGTAGGAAGCTGGGCCAGCTCAGAGTAGACCTTCCCACCTATCCCGTCCTTTCTAGCTGATTGGACCCATTGGCAACACGGTCTGATAAGTGAATTACTGGATTAGAGACAAGCGTCCTAGGCTCAAACCCAGCTTCCCCACCTATTCTGTGACCTTGGATAAGTAACTTATCTGCCCTGAATCTGAATTCTGTCCTCTATAGGATGGGAATAATCACATCTATCTTGCACGGGGGACTATTAAGTGAGATGTGAAAATACTGTCATGTCAGAAATAGAGCAAACACATTTCCCTCCATTTTCCTTGCTTATTAATGAAAATTTCTAGAGTTGTGGTCTGTCTTACCTCAGCTCTCCAGAGTTTTGTTCCATGAAAACTTTGGAAGCATTTGAAATTTAGGCCAAATTTGTTAAATTGCTAGAATATTATCAAGATGTGTCTTAAGTTCATTTTGCGGTCACACTACTATCTTAAAACAATCAGTGAATAAATCTCTCAAAGGGGTCCATAATCTGGACCCCTTTGAGAGATTTATTCATTGCTAGTGGACACCAATAAAATATAATAGCATATAGAGTGTGTGCAGGTTTATGAGTACCTGGAGTGAGGCCACCAGTTCACAGAACTCCTAGTGCCGTAATTTACAGAGTTTGGGGATGAACCATTATTACTTATGTTCATTTTCTTGGTTTCTGATCAGAATTTAAGTCATGAGCGTTTGTCAAATAGCTGTGATTCATGCCTGTAATCCCAGCACTTTGAGAGGCTGAGGTGGGCGGATCACTTGAGGTCAGAAGTTCAAGACCAGCCTGGCCAACATGGTGAAATCCCATCTCTACTAAAAATACAAAAATTAGCTGGGTGTGGTGGCGCACGCCTGTGATCCCAGCTACTTGGGAGGCTGCGGTACAAGAATTGCTTGAACCGGGAGGCAGAGGTTGCAGTGAGCCTAGATAGTGCCACTGCACTCTATCCTGGGCAACAGAGTAAGACTCCATCTTAAAAACAAACAAACAAACACACATATATGTATATATAATATAAAATAACATAGGAAACCATGGGAGAGATGAGAAGGGCACTAATATCCCCCAAGGCAGGCTCAGTGTGAGACACTGAGGTAAGGCACCTAACTAGATTATCAGGTTTAATCCTCACAACCCCATAAATTGGTATTAGAAACCTGATTTTATTAATTAGATAACTGAGGCTGAAAGAGGCTACAGAATGCATCCAAGGTACCACAGCCAGTAACAAGAACACATCCCCGGGTCTGCCTGACTCCAAGCCCATGCTCTTCGCACTCCACAGGTATGAGTGAATCCTGCAATTCACAGAATTTTGAGTTAAGGTAAGGATCAACAGCAGGGATGTGTACTGTAACTATAAAGATGAGCATACCATATACCAGTTTTCTCCCATAGCCTGATGGCCTCCATTCCTGCTTCATCCCCTGTTGCCTTGTACAAGAACACCCTCATACACGCACAACCCTCTACAGCAGGGGCTCTCTATGGTGTGTGTGTGGAGGGGGAAGGGTGCATGTCAGAATCGGCTGGGGGAACATTCAGATCTCCTTCACATTCACCACAGCAGCTAAACATGTTATCTCCTCATCTTCTGGAGGAGGTTCTGTCAGCAGGGGAAGGCCCAAAGTCCAAAGTGTGAATGTCTTTTTAAAAAGCACAGCTAGGGCCAGGCGTGATGGCTCACACCTGTAATCCCAGCACTTTCGGAGATCACCTGAGGTCAGGAGTTCGAGACCAGCCTGATCAACATGGAGAAACTCCGTCCCTACTAAAAATACAAAAAATTAACAGGACGTAGTGGCGCATGACTGTAATCCCAGCTACTCGGGAGGCTGAGGCAGGAGAATCACTTGAACCCAGGAGGCAGAGGTTGCGGTGAGCCAAGATCGAGCCACTGCACTCCAACCTGGGCAACAAGAGAAAAACTCCATCTCAAAAAAAAAAAAAAAAAAAGCATAGCTAAGATACCTCTCTGGAGGCCAAACATCTCTACACTCCTATTAATAGAACAAGACTGGATGACAGCCATTCCGCAGGCCCAACACCAGAGTGTTATTGCCCCTTCTCAATGACCCACACAGACCTGCTGTTGATGGATCAGTGAAATCCGCAAATGATTTCAAAGTCATTTCATTTAATCATGGCCATCCCCTTTGGAAGTAAACTTTTCACTGGAGACACTAACAAATAGCAAAATTAACTGATTTGAATTTTACCGTATCATTCTTCTTCCCACTGCTAGTAGAGATAGCAATCGACAGAGAAATGGCCGAGGGGTGGGAAGCAAGCAGGAAGAGGAACAAAAGGCCTGAAGTATACACGAAAGGCACTGACATACCCTTTAATAATTATTACTCCTTTACATTAATCAGTTAATCAATCGGTAACTATCAACGAGCTCTTTGATAATCAAGGATTGAGCATTGGTCATTGATTAAAGGAAATATGTGGGTTTGCTTTATTTTTTTAAATATATATATATATATATAAAAAGGGTGACTTTAAGTCACTGTTAAACTGGTTCTAGCAACAGGGGTTACTGGATTCAATGCTGCCTTCAGTGGTTTGAGCTACCCTGACTGTCTGGACAAAGCTACCCAAAGAGGCTGTTCCTTTCCCGCATACCGACTGGCATGCCAATCCCGTAGCCCTTGGTGTCCAGCAGGCCCCCAATCTGAGTGAGGTTGCAGTTGCGCTGCCGATAGTACTCGTTCATGGTGGACTCCAGGAGGAAGGCGTAGTTGGAATTCAACACCCTGGCGATTCCCTCCTCTGTGCTCTTCACAAACACACTGGGCTGCTTGGAATACATGTAATTCCACATGCGTTGGTAGGTCTGGTAGCGGGAATTCTGGGAAAAGAACCAAAGCAAGCAGGATTGGGAAAAGAGGAAGGAAACGTTGGATTAAAAAGGGAGGGAATCAAAGTGCACCTTAAGATCCTGGCCCTTCTGCTACTCCACCTGCGATCGCAGTCAAGAACCTTTTCCCTTTCTGTCTCTCAACACAAGATGTTCACTGTCAGTGTGTAATGGCAGAGGAGGGAGTTGTGCTGTTGATAACTTTTACAGAAAGATGCGGAAGCAACAGGGCACTAAGGCCCTGCTTTGGTAATTGGGTTTGCCTCATCTACCCTCAAGAGCTCTTCCATTGCCAGCCTCCATTTTCCAATAGAGCTGAAATTCTGGTTGGGTACCTTCACTGTCCCTCAATTTGGGGCAGTGAATTCAGGTTCATTTAGGACTATACAGAGATGCCCTCTGAAAAAGCAGTGCCACTATTTTCTATCCACCCTAAACCAATTGATCAATCACATATCCAATGCTGCCTGCTGTTCTACAAATAACAACATCAGAGAACTCTGGGGGGGTCTATCCAAACCCTGTGTTTGCATGATGACTTCACTGTTCTCTGTGCCAGTAGGCACTGAGATTTGCCTGGAAAACAGAAAGCTGAAGGCATTGGACTTGTTTCATGTGAAAATGAACTTATTGGATGTTAGGTTGGTTAGACACCTTTTAACCCCAGGGGAAGCCTGCTTTCCAAGAGAGCTTGAGGCATATGAAAACCGCTATCCCATCTGGTCTGGCTGTCAGTCTTGGTGATCGATCAGTTTGCCTGACAGCGAACACATCACTGTGGCAGGGCTTTTTCTTGAGCTTTGCAAGGGAAAGTCAAAGAAGCCAACAGGGTCCCTATCGGACGCCCATCAAGTCTGGAATCAATGAAGTCAGTTCGTCTAAAGCTGGTGTTCCTCAAACTTCAGTCATTTGTGTATTAATCGTGTTCTGTCTAAATACTACCTACACGATTTAAATCACTTCAAAAATTTAAATATATACGTTAACCCCATCCTATGCAGTAATACAAATAAAATTATAGATTTGATTCACTGCATATATATACTTTTCTAATGCCCATTATCATAAACATGAAACTATGGCAACTAAAAAATAGTTGCACCACATTAGACCTAAAATCATCTCAAGTACTACCACTCTGGGACAGGCTGATATTAATGCAAAGTTCTTTTGGGACCTCATTCCAGGTGTATTTTGTGGAGCAGCAGATAAATGAGCCCCATGTGGACCTCCACACTGTATGTTCAAAAGAGATAATGAGATGATGAGAGATATTTTTATCTCCAGCAGACAAACATCTCAACTTTATTCTACCCAATTCCCGATGTTGGTGAGCAACCAAATGGGGTTTACTTGGAAGAAGGTCATGCTGGAGCCTCCGTGAATTGTGCCATACTCAATGGCGGTCTGGTCAGCCAGGTCATCCACTGACTCAATGGGCACATCCATGCGCTGCACGGTCAGGAAGGCTGCCAGGTTGGCCGTGTAGGATGAGATGATGATCAGCGTGAATGCCCACCTATGTAGGAAAAGACCAGGAAGTCATCATTGCCCGGGCACTCCCTGGCGTCTTGGACCCCAACCCTAGTCCTGCAGTGACATGGGAGAGACCAGGCATCTTTCTTCTGAAAGAGCTTTCAGCTTTGTGGGGGAAGAGAAAGGAGGCAGGGCATATGATGTCAACAGAAATGAATCGGGTTTGTGAGCACTGCCTGGAAGAAGACAGTTGATTTGTTTTTCTTATTTCCTAAAGGAGATGATTATTGGGTTATTATTCAAAAGAGATGTAGTCCATGCACATGAGACAGTTTTGCAGACTGTGAGAAATGAGCTAGTGAATGAGCCGTGGGTGCCAGCTTTGAGGGCTCTGTTCAGAGATAGAGCAGGAGGGCTTCCTCCCTCCTCATGCGAAGCCAAACTTCAAATGCACATCGCCAGGCACTGAGCATCTACCATGAGCTACATTCACTATCTCACTTAATCCCTACAGCTGAGGGAGGCAAAATTCTTATCCCAATTTTACAGGTGAGGAAATCGAGACTCAAAGAAGTGAAGCAACCTGCCAAATAACACATTGATAATTTTTTTTTTTTTTTTGAGACGGAGTATTGCTCTGTCACCAGGCTGGAGTGCAGTTGCATGATCTCAGCTCACTGCAACATCCGCCTCCCAGGTTCAAGTGATTCTCCTGCCTCAGCCTCCCACGTAGCTGAGACTACAGGTACATGCCACCACACCCAGCTAATTTTTGTGTTTTTAGTAGAGATGGGGTTTCACCATGTTGGCCAGGATGGTCTCAATCTCTTGACCTTGTGATCTGCCCTCCTTGGCCTCCCAAAGTGCTGGGATTATAGACGTGAGCCACTGCACCTGGCCAATAAACTCTTTCTTTTTTTTTTTTTTGGAGACAGGATCTTGCTCTGTCACCCAGGCTGGAGTGCAGTGGCTTAATCAGAGCTCATTGCAACCTAGAACCCCCAGGCTCAAGTGGTCTTCCTGCCTCAGCCTCCCAAAGTACTGGGATTACTGGCATGAGTCCCTGTGCCGGCCGATGAATTTGTATTTTAAAACCAGTTCTGTAAACTGCAATAACAGAAAATCCTTAACGAAGACTACCTGGTGAAAATCTGAAAGGCTGGAATTAGAAGATACTCTTATAATGGTCATGCTATTTCAAACTAGAAGATTGCTTTATTGAGTAGACAGAACTCTCAAAATTAGAATAATTTTGCAGCTCAGGCAGCATATATGCTAAATCCATTAAAAACTGTGTGTTCACTTGAGTAGGTTAAACAAGGCTTCTCCCATCTGGTCAACAGTATGGCTCTACAACCCAATCCCAAGGGGCTCAGAGATAGATCTAAGCACAGTTTGGGTTGGAGAATCAAAAATTCTGAATCAGTGGAGCCTGAATTCATGAAGCTTTATCCATTATAAAGACACTAACGATGAATGCATAGTGATTACCACAGGACTCGGCAACTTGCCGCTGCCGGGCAGATTTTCAAGAGCAGCAGGTCCCATTGCCCCTTTGCCATTGTGACGGAGAACTCTTGCTGGCTGCCTCCCCAGGAGTGAAGCAACAGGGGCATCCTCTGACTCGAAGGGCACATCTACATGGCAGACCCCCGGCAAGGGAACTGGGTTTTGGTTCTGGCTGTGTTCCACTGTGAGACTGTGGGGAAAGCCACTCGCCTTCTCTGAGCTCATTTACTTGTCTAATACATATATGGGGACAATAATGCCTGATCTGCCTATTGCTGGAGAGTTGTGAGATAAAATGAGGTAATATGTCATGAGTGATCAGCAATCTGTAAAGGACTAGAGGGATGTGAGATATAGAGAAATGTATAGAGAGACCATCAGGCTGAAAATGGGATGAAAATGACGTGGCTGCCTCCTTCCTGCCTTCCCTATCTGTGACCTGTAAGTACCAGGTGTCCCTCCATGCCCAAGGTCTGCTTTCCCTGCTTCTGCCTCAGCTCTTCTGTCCTATTGGAAGGTGCTTCTCACGACCATCCCTAAGAAGAGGCCTGGGGCAAGCGATCCCCAGGAGGAAGGCAGCGCTCTGCAGCTGCTTAGCTGTGGTGGTGTGTGCCGGGGGTTAATAAGCCCTAGGTGTGGACATAACGTCAGAGTTGGCTACACTCTGGCTACAACCCAGGTGGCTACTTAGGGTACTGGTCACAAGGAAATGAATCAGAGGGCACAAGTGGCTCAGTGCAAACGCATCAGCTCTGCTGAAAAAGGGATTGATGCCCATGCCGCTTCCGGAGGGTCCATGGAGCCTTGCTCCTGTGTCAAAGGGTGTTTTCAGCTGCAAAGCTGGCATTCTCTCCAGCGACACGGTGTTTTCTGTCACATGCTCTGGGTGAGGAGGCCAAGGTAGACCTCTCACCTGTCTTCTGACCTCCCATTCCTCCATGGAAAGGACCAAGCTGAGGCCCTGATTTAAGAACTAGGAACTGTTAGAGGGCTGGGAGAGAAGCGCACTGACCACCTGGAGTCAGAACTGTCACGGCAGCTTCGCATTCACGCTCAGTCCCTCCCCACACACGCTCTGGAACTGAGTGACCAAGCCACTTGGGGCCAGCTATTTAAAGCCACTGCTGAGTGCCCCCCTCAGGGCAGGGTAGCCTGCAGGGCGGCTAGGTCCTGGAGGAGGAGTTTCCTGGGGTAAGGGTAGAGCTGACAAGTGGCTGAACTGGGCAGTGGGGCCCCAGCTGCATCCGTGGGAGCAGTCACTCTCCGGAAGGAAAAGGCCCAGGGAGAAAGAGATCCACATCCCCAGACGCTCCTCTCCCAGGGCTTCTGCCCACATTCCCGGATTTTGTATGACTTCCGTGACTCTCCTTGCTGAGACCATCCATCCCTCTTCCTGGGGACCTGAGCTCCCTTCTCCATGGTGATCTACTCAGTGACTTCTCTGAACTATCTGGTAACAGGCAAACATCTCACCCAAGAGGTTTAAATCCTGGTATATTTATTGTTTATCAGGGAAAATGGAAACACCAGACAGGAAGGCGTGGCTGTCTCAGCTGCCTTTTCACCTTCCAGCAGCCTAGCGGCTCCTCCAGTAATCCTGTCCAGACCACCCGGTCTAGGGACCGGTACCCAAGGGAGGAAACATCACCTTGCCTTTTCCTTTGGCTAAACACGCTGAGAAGGAAAGGAGAGAACTAAGCTCAGAAGTCCTGTACGCTATGGCAGTCAAACCCACAGCAGATTTTTAAGAGAGCATCAAAAAGTTGTGTTCTACAAACTCGCCTCTCTAGGTCACATACATATATCTGTTTTGATTTTCATTTGCCCCCATAATGGTCTACTAACTATGATCAGTCCATAAACTTACGTAGCACTTTCAAGTTTTCAAAGAGCTTTCCCATATATTGAATCATTTGCTCAACTCTGAAAGACAAGAGTTTGCATTTTCCTACACCTGCTGAGGTGAACAGGCCAGCAAGTCCCCAGAGCCAGGGGCAAAGACACACAGCCTCAGAAGGCTGGCAGAGGGGGTGTGATGTGGCAGCCAGTCTGGCTTCTTCCTGCAGGGACTTCCTGCCAGCAGGACCATATTTGCATACATCTGCATATGCCTTCTCAAACATCAGGTCATTTTCAGGTCAGGAAGTTACCATTGCTTTGCTGAAGGTCATCAAGACCGCTTTCTCACCTCCTCTCCCTTCCTGCCTTGGCTCCCCTCTGCATCCAGACCACAGAGGCTGAGTAAGGGGGAGGACAGCAGATGGTACAGAGCAGCCCCATCCATTGCCCCAAGCTTCCGAGCTGGCAGAAAGCACTCAGCTCCCTGCTTGGGTCTGCTGTAAGAGGCAGAGGCTCTGGGGCTCTCCCGAAGGGCTGCTACCAGCAGCTACAGCCGGCTTGTCAGAGGATCCCTTTTGTGTCCCTGCCCCACTTGGCCTGGTTCACCTCTGCTGGGGTCTTACCAGACGCCACTGACACAGCGGGTGGACAAGGCGCGAGGGGCGATGGTGGAGCCTTGCTGCATGAAGCCCCCAACTGGAAACCACAGGCTGTTGCCCAGGGAGTACTGGTTCACCAGAAGGTTGCACCGGCCCTGGGCACATGGGTGTGGGCTGTACCACTCGTAGGGCGTCAACCTGTGAGATAAAAGGATCATATACTAGTGCCACAGAGGAGGGGTGTGAAGGGACACGGGCAGGCTCTCCAGGCTGGTCTCACCTCTGAGGTCAGCCTGTGGCCTTGTGCAAGCCACCTCCCTTTGCTGGACTTGGAGTTTCGCAACCAAAAAAATGAAGCAGGTTGGACTGGGCTGATGGTTCTCAAACTTTTTTTAATCAAAGAGACTTTTCCCCCAATAAATTCTGATGTGGAACTCCAAACTACAAAAGAGAGGATGGCGGGCGTGGTGGCTCATGCCTGTAATCCCAGCATTTTGGGATGCCGAGGTGGGTGGATTGCTTGAGTCCAGGGGTTCGAGACCAGCCTGAACAACATAGCAAAACCCATCCCTACTAAAAAATACACACAAAAATTAGCCAGGTGTGGCAGTGCGTGCCTGTAATCCCAGCTACTCAAGAGGCTGAGGTGGGAAAATCGAGCCTGGAAGGGAGATGCTGCAGTGAGCCAAGATTGCACCACTGTACTCCAGTCTAGACAGACACAGTGAGACCCTGTCTCAAAAAAAAAAAAAAAAAAAGAAAAGAAAAGATGAAAGTGGAGCCCTTGAGGTTAGGAGTGTCAAGAGGTGGACAGTGTGGGAAGCTGCTTGTTCTGTCACTACCAGTGACAGGGTGATGACAGAAATACTAGCATCCCTTAGAACCACCATTTGAAGACCCTCAGCCTAGAGCAGAGGCCCCCCAGCCTCAGCCTATCCCAGAACCACCAAGCCAGTGTGCTGACACAGACGGCTGGGCTCCAGCCCCAAAGCTTCTGCATCCGTAAGTCTGGGGTGAGACCTAAGAATTCCCAAGTTCCCAGATGATGCTGACGCCACCAGCCCAGTGTCCACTGAGAGCCACTGGCCTGGATGGTGTCTAAGGCCAGGCTCTCCCCTATCTGTGTTCAGGCCTCCCCAGAAGCTTTAAAAAAATGCTGCTGCTTGAATTCCACTCCCAAAGATGCTGGTTTCATTGTCTCAGGTGGGGCCCGGCATCAGTATTTGTTTCAAGCTTCCCAGTGAGTGTGAGGGGCACATGGAGCTGAGACCTTGGGGGTGAGACCGGGACACTCCCCTGCTGTCCCTCAGCCTTACCACTGGCATCTCTCTGAGCGGCCCCTTTGATGCCTAGAATGCCCTCTCTTCCCCCGCCCGCCAGGCAGACACTTGCAACCCCAGCCCATCTCCCAGGCAAAGCCTTCCAGCTCTGATGAGGGAAACTGCATGCACAGGTGTGCACCCCCCAGGAGGGTGGGGCGCTGTGTGCTGGGTGTTATCATCACACGGCTTTCCCGTCCTGCACTTGGCCTGATGTGCACTTAGTGTTCCTGCTGTTGCTGCTTCCTGTTTCCGTCCACGCCTCCCTTTCCTGAGTATAACATGAATGTACCAGTGTTGGCCCTGTGCGCTGTGAGATGTGCACCGTCCCTCTGTGCAGATCCCAAGGAGCTGGCTGGCACTCGTGCTGCCCCACTTGGTGGCTCACAAGCCTACGGACCATTGGTGAGATCCAGGGAACTTCAAAGATGCAGATTCTCAGGCCCTTCCCCTAGAGAGTCTGAGAATTCAAATGTCTAAAAGCTCCTATAGGGCTGTGAAGATCAGCTTGCTTGGGAATGGCTACCCAAGGGCTGTTGTTTTCAGACTTTTTTTTCCCTGTAAAGTCTTACCCAGAAATACAATATATAAAAGTACAGCTGGTCTGGATGAGGAGGTGTTGGGGACCTAGGGTTCTGGCTGCCCGGCCCCTTGTCATTCTACCCCCAGAGGCTCTGTTAGCTCCCAGGAGCCTTTGCAGCCCATAAAACCATGTTTGAAAATCACTACCTTAAGGCAGAATACCCTAGACTCTCGTATTGCGGGCGCGCGCGCGCACGCGCCTGTGTGTGTGTGTGTGTGTGTGTGTGTGTGTGTGTAAAGAGAAGATAGAAAGAGGCCGTATGGTTAGCCCTTTAGCGCATTTTCTGTTAACCTTTCTGTGATGCTAGATGTTGAAGATGGTGTGTTTGGGTGTGGAGGGGAGGGGAGAGGGTCAGCGTCACATCCCAGGGCTGGATGAAACTCCAGGCTGCTGTGGGTGTGCTGAAACAGGCTTGTATGTATCTGCTCACCAAGCCCCGAGACTCTTTCCAAGGCCGTTGAGGTGACCTGAGTGCTGTGGCATGTCATACCCAAAGGCTTACATTCAAGGGGCAAGTGTGAATTACAGAACAGTGGCATCAGGGCTCACATAGACACCCTCCTAACGTGGCAACGGTGTGGCAAAGTAGAGAGGGAAGGTGTCAGACAGTACGCTAGCTCCCCATCTCGCCAGCTGTCACTGACAGCAGATACTCGACAGTGGCCATGCCTACAGGCCTGAGAGGGGTTGGTGGTGTCCAACCAGCAAACTCTGCCACTTCTCAAGATGACCAGATTGTCATCAGGACTGTCTTATTTGGGCAGTATCTTGTGGGCCCCAGAGACCTTCCTGATCTTGGGGATCTTGGTCTCTACTGGAAGAGGTGTGTGCAGACAGGTTGATGCAACCCTTCTTGTGCAGGCTGGGGTTGGGTAGCCCGTGGTTTCCTAGGGCTCACGATGCAGCAGCTCCATCCCTGAGTGCCCCCCTCAATCCACTGAATGAACATGCCTAGGGGAAGACCCCATACACCCCACAGAGGTGTGATGTGTACTCTGAAACTGTCTGCCTGCCATCGTGGCAAAGGTAACAAACTCAGGAGACACCTGCAAACAGAGCCACGGACAGATTTCCAGATGCTCCTCCTGAGTGATTCTCTGCTCCCACGTAACAGCCCTTTGTGAGCCTCCACTGCAGGAAGTGGAGGGCTAGCGGCAGCAGGGACCTGAGTGAGCTGCTGGGAGCCACCAGGGCTCATCCCACTTCTGGGGGGTTAAGCTGGCTCCCCTGCAGCCCAGGCTAGTCCAATAGCCCATGGCCTCGAGCAAAACCTCCATTTTTGAGCATGGGCTTGGCAGGCCACAGCCTCAGGCTGCTCCTCGGGTTTTTCCATAGGACCAGGGCAGCTCCTGGTTTCCTGGGGATAGGAAAGGGCTTCTCCCCACTCCCTGGTCTGGCCCATGTGTCTCAACTCAGCACTTCTTGAAAACGTCTCTCCCCATTCCACCTCCTTGCCGCCCGCCACCAGCCTCATGGTTCCCATTCGACAAGCAGCTGTGTTTTCAGAGGCAGACTCAGGCTGTATGCAGAGGAGGCCTTCTCCCTGGCCTGTGCCAGGGAACCCCCAGTGCCCCAGCCCAGATTCGCAGGCTCTGTTTCTGGAAGGCACTGCAGCCCCCAGTGCCCCAGCCCAGATTGGCAGGCTCTGTTTCTTGTCATCCAGCACTTTGTGGCAGGTCCTTTGTGGCAACGGCTGATGCCAGGGCAGCCAAATGTGCAATGCTTAATCAGAGTCATCATCCTGCCACCCTACCCCTCCTCTCTTGCCAGAGCTCCTACATAAGCAGGGGGCATGGGTGAGGGTCTTGGGGGGAAGAGGGATGGAACAGGAGGCAGAGGTGCAGAAGCCAAGCCACCTGTGTCGTGCACGGTGGGGAATGTTTGGATGGGCAGCATGAGGTTGACAGCTGGGCAGACAGCATTTCATGTCCCGAGTCCTTCTCCTGTCCCTCTAGTTTGGCACCAAGATCTTCCCAACCCACCCGTCCCCTCCTCCCCACCCCCTCCCCATGCAGTTCCCAGAGGTGGACACGAGGTGGCGGTGTGAGGACGGGGAAGGGAAGAGGAGCCTACCGAGCCACCAGGAAGAGGACACAGCTGACAGCCAGATAGGCTAGAAGCATGAAGAGCCAGACGCCTGGAGAAAACGGGTCCAGGAAGGAGAAATAGCCGGGTTTGCGTCCCTGGAAGTTGAGAAAAAAACAAGATTCACCGCACACATTCAGTCAAAACGACCTTGGGCTGGGCAGGGCAGACGAGGTAGTGAGTGTGGGTCTGGCCCCCGTTCCCATTTCTCTGGGCTCTGGGTGATTGGTTCAAATGACACCGGGAATGAGGGTGTAGCCAGGCTGCTCCAAACAACACTGTCCATCCCTGACCTCAGCAGGCGGCACAACAGCAGCAGGGGCCGTGCCACTTCGTGGGGTGAGGCAGGCTTTGTGCTGGCAAAGAGGAACAACCCTCAGTGCCCCCATGTACCACCCTGTGTCTTCCGTGGGGGGTCGAGGATGGGCTTGGGGAGCACCTTTGAGCTCCTGCTGTCTGCATGGCTGGATGTGACCACAGCACCCCTCTTAGACACTCACATCTTTTTCACGAGGATGCTAATACAACTGGAATCTTTGGGTTCTCTTTGCAGGGTGATCTCACACAGTGAGCCTTTCCCATGTCAAGACAGTCCTGGGAGGCACAAATTATTACTCTCACTTCACGATTAAAGAAGCGAAAGTCGCGGGCAGCCAGAGATGTGCCCACGGTTCCACAGCTCGTAAGTGGAAGAGCCGGGACCCAAACAAGCCCATGTCTTCTGACTCAAAGCCCAGGGCTCATACCACTATGCCATGGGAAAACATGGTTTGTTGCAAGCCCAGGGATGAGTTTGGCCAGAGTCCTGTGAGCCAGACGATGGAGCCAGGAATGGAAGCCTGGACGCCAAGCTCCCCACCATTTTTCACAGGAAAACAAAATGGAATGAGAAGGTTGGAGTGAAGTCATCAGCTCCAAGTCTTGAGCCATGTGGTCTCAGACAAGTCCCCACCCTTCTCTGGCCTCAGTTGGAGTGGGCTAGCTCCGAGGTGACACGCTGGGGGCCTGTGGACACATACGGCCCACAGACTTGCACTGTTTACCCTGCAGTATTTACCTATTTGTATTAGTTGCCAGCATTAAATAATTAGGTAACTTCACATACATATTTAGATTTCTGGCTTTTTAAAAAATGGAGTGATCTGGCAACATGGAGTCCAGGTTCCCAGTTGGCTGAAGCTGAGTGTGGGCTGCCCACTGCAGACAGGGCATGTTCTCTGCAGCTCTGTGCTGCTACCCTGTCTGGTGCCAGGCTGGTTTCTTTCATCTACTATAAAACCACTGGACTAGATGCTCCCTAAGGACTATTGTAAGTGGGAAATGCTATGATTTTATGATCCCAGAAATCTAGGAAGTCCATGGACAGGACTGAAAATCAGTACTAAGCTCAGGATTCTGTGAATAGGTGAGCATTTAAGCTCAAGATCATATCAGTCATGGCGCAACCTACTGTCACTTTCAAGGTATGTCAGTTTTACACAGGGGTTCCCAGAAACACAAAACGGAACTCTCTTTGCCAATACTGAGCTAAACTCAACCAGCCTTCTGAGCTTTCATTATCCAGAGGAAGCTGGAAGAAGCTGAGAAACCCCAAGTGACAATAGCTGTTTCCACGGCTGCATCTGAGGCAGGTGGGAGGAGACAGTTTTGCGCACTCCTGTTTTATCTGCATAGCCCCCATCATGGGTGATTTTCAGCTTCTCTTCTGGATGCTTTTCCCTTCCATCTTAGGATGCCAATGGGCACACTGTGCTTCCTTCCACCTGTGCTGCAGTTTTACTTTCCTCTTTGGGACAAGAGCCGGAGGGTGCATGGAGATAACGTAAATACTCATCCTCTGCCAAAAAGGGCAGCTGTTCTTGGGCACTGTGGCCTTTCAGCAGCGTGACAGTGACCACCCACACGGCCTATCTGAAATTGTTTTTCTTTCACAGTATGGGCTCGGACCACGGAACTGCCTTTAGATACCATTTGCAAGTTCTGTGACCCCTTCTGCATCCTTGCTCAGTCTGCATACAACACTCAGGTATTACTGGAAAAATGAAAAATCTGGGGGACAAACACAGTAACTTAGGGAAGGGAACAGGACAAGAATGAGGAGATCATTTGAGCTTGTCCCATCCCATCATTACATAAATCCCTAAGAGGAAGCAAAGGACTTCAGAGCAGCAGAATCCAAGTCCCCACTTTATCATTCCTGTGTCCATCATGGCTTGACTGTGTTTCTTTCATCATCCTAAGAGCTAGAGGAAGACACAGGAAGACACAGAGAGGGTAGAACCCATATACAGAGTCCAGAAGCACAAAAGGAGCTGATCATGCCTATATACCTACTGCAACAGAAATCACTAGTGTGGTCCACTCCTGGAGTCTTTTTTGACCCCAGAGTTTCTCTGAGTAAATGTGCATGAATTCCGTGTGCCCTGTCACTTATGACTGTTTCGCTCTGTCTCTCAACTGAAAAATCTATTACTGTTGCTTTCTGAATCTGAACCCCATTAGATGCTCAGTGTCAGAAATCTATACCTGATTATATCACAACAAGTGAAATTGAGGAAAATGACAGCACTATTTAAAGCTGCCATATTTGGTTATGAGTGATAAGGAATGATGCACAGCTGTAGGAAAACTAGAGACTGAAGTTATAAAACACAGAAAATCACACAAACAAAAACCAAGACATAAACACACCTCCCCCCAGAAACCTATCAGTCACACTGGCAAGGCAACATCGGATTCTACTTGTGATTGACTGATGCCAACCAGAAGAGCTAAGAATGGGCAGTGAATTGAGATTTGGGGCCAGGTTTATACAGCCTTGGCTTAGGCTAATCCATGCTGTTTCTGTGATGCCAAAGAGATGTATGTTTTCTGCAAGATTCTGAGTGCCTACCATTTTTTTCTATGCAGACGCTTTAGATCACTTTCTTCCCAAAGACATGTGAGCTACTGGTGCTTGGGGCAAATCAGGTGTCATATACTATAGGCATTTCTTCCAAATAATTGATTTTCCTTACCCCAAAGGAGGCATGATGGTAAGGCCTTTCTTCTGAAGAACTCAAAGTGCTTCACTATGTTCTCTTGATTTCAATACTCAATTTTCCATACTGATAGATGGAAGAACTGAGACCCAGGGAGGTTAAGTGCCTCGCTCAAATCATTGGTGATGGCTTCAATTTTTCTGGTGCTCATTCATTGAGCTGTGCCATAGGCATGCCACCCTCTCCTTCATTCAAATGGCAGCTGTGCTGCATCTTCCTCTCCTTTTCATCTTTGCATTTTATTTACTCCCTAATTAATCCCATGCCTTCTCCCCAATGCCAGTAAACTCTCAACCTACACAGCCTCTTAGAGTACTCTTAAACATTATTTATTTATACCCATCACCATTTATTGTGACTCTGCTGTATTTATAGGCATTTGTATTGATTTATACACATCTCTGTTGACTATGAGTTGGGCCAGCTCCTGCTGGTAAATACAACCACTTTGGAAGTAGATAGGTGGTTATATATAGTCTATGCTCCAGATGTCGAAGACTGGTCAAGCTGTGCTGATGAAATTGAAAATCAGACGGCAGCAAAATTAGAACTAGCTCCCTTGATGTTTAGACTGTGCTTCAGTCTGACTGTCAATCAGCATCCTTGATGTTCTTTGAAGGAGGGAGAGATGCGAAGCTGGTCATCAACTGCCCACAGTCCTGGTGTGTGTAGGTCCTTTGCATGATAGTAGTGGGGCCGTCCATGGAGCTATGAAGTTGCATGAACCCTGCCCCTTGCATGCCCAAAGTTCCTCTTGTCCTCAAAAATAATCTGTTAATTCAGTGATACTTCACTCTAAGCATACTGGAAGAAATTACATTCTAGGAAGACTGCAATTGCTTTCCCAGAGTCTGGAGCCAAATGCATGGCCAAACCAGAGCCAGGCAGTCAGGACAGGTAGTGAATAAAATCCAGACTCTGGAGCCAGACTGCCCAAGATTGAATTCTGGCTCTACATTTACGAGACACGCAATCCTGGGTAAGTTGGGTAACCTTTAGGTCTCTGTTTCCTCCTGTGTAACATGGAAGTAATAATAAAAACTACCTCATGAGGTTGTTTTGAGAACCCAGTGAGTTAACACATAGAGCTGTATGTGTGTTTGCTCTCCTTCTGTCTAATGGTAGCTGTGAGTGAAGAGGTCACTAGTGGGGAGATGGTGTGTTACAAAGAAGGGAACTTTCTTTTATACTGATGCCTTCCGCAATGGACAAGAAATACTAAACTTTCTGTCTTATACTGACACATGCTAAAGACGCTTTGGGGAAGGATGCTATCTGGCTACAGCCACTTTTCAGAACTCCTGGAGTTTCTATGACTGTAATACATGCAACATGAGAGTTCCTTCAGGGCTTTCCAGAGAAGCACTTAGGGCAATACCAGGCTTTCTTCTGGAATGATGACTCTTAAAAGCCAGTGATTGCAACCTTTAGAACTTGATCCTGCCTCAACCTTCCCAAAGAAGTCACTGACAGAGAGGACCAGACACGTAGCAGGTTCTCTTGGATCTGTGTTAGGGCTCTGTAGCCTAGTTACCATTTCCCTACACAAATGCGTGATATCAGCTCTCTTCCTTCCCCAAACTCCATCTCCTCCCAGCATAGCCAGGGACAAAGTGTCCTTCATGTGCTTTTTTACAGTCCTTAGAACTAAGTGGCAATTTATAGGAAGGTTGCTTGTGACATAGTCAACTCCCAGCAGTGCTCAATGGTCAATTAAACACTGTCCTGGGCTGAAGAGGTAAGAGAATGCAGTCTCTCCAAGACTCCTCTGGGAGAGGCAGGAGGAGGTGATTTCTTCCTGTCCCTCAGCAGGATCCCATGGATGGCCTCCCCCAGTGTGTCTGCAATGGATTGCCCTGCTGATATTTTGGTTTAGCGTGCACTCTCCACCTCTGACTCCAAGAAGAAAAAAGGAAGCAAGTAATTAATTCCTATCCACATAAACAGACCAGATGGGTCTGTTGCCCATAGAACTCATATCTAGTGTTATCTATTTTCAGTTCCTGACTGAAAATCTGGTGTGAGGAGACCTACATTCTAATCCTGGCACTGACCTG